CAATAGAAGCGTAAGTTAACATAAATTATTGGTTTATCTGTTGAAAAATACAGGGCCGTAATTGGAAAATAATCTGCAGGTTGAAAAAATGCCATTTGAAAACTAATTTTAAACTTAAATTAGAACTTCTAAACGCTAAGCAAATGATGTTGAACAAGATTAAATCAAACGTAATCGGTATTTTTATGATCCCTAAGTACCAAAGGCAAAATCAATAGGAAAAAGACTAGGTGAAAAAATTGGCCAATTATCGCAAACATTTTTTATTTTATTTATTTTTTTTAAATTTTTATTATTATTTTTATTTTTAAAGATTTTGTTGACCCCGTCATTTCCGATTTTTTTTTTTATTGGCACCTATGGATCACAATAATACTCTGCAGGTTGACAAATGCTACTTAAAAACTAGTTTTAAGCTTACATTATGTTAAATCAGTTGATAATCAATTCGACCTATCAGTCCGAATCTGGGAAAATTTAAACATTTAAACGCTAAGAAAATGATATTGAACAAGGTTGAATCAAACTTAATCGGTATTTTCATGATGGCTACTATAAGGCAAAATCAATAGGAAAGCGACTAAGTGAAAAAATGGACAATTTTCGCAAAAACGTAAAGGGTATACCGCTGCTCTCAAGACTTTCTTGGGATGATTTTATGACTCCACCATTTCTTGATGTTTTGTGTTGTATTGGGACCTACAAAATCAAAATAAGCCCAAAACAACGTTGGTCCATTTCATACTTCGTAATATCACGTGGGGTATCCACATTTATGTTACTGCCCCTTGGATTGGTAAAGTACAATCCCGATTGCAATACAATAATTCCATTATCTTCATTTGTCCTTCTACTCGTCCATTCAGCAGTGGCGTATCTACTATGAGCATTGAAATAGGGATACGGTACTGTGGACGGGGTTGTGGTGAGGAGATGGGCTTGATGATTATGTGAAGGGTGCTCGCAAAATAAGATGATATGAGGTGATTGGTAACTACTTGAATGTGATGTTTTTGCTTCGGACATTTTAAGTGACGGGCGTTTGGCTGATGGGTGTGATGCGCCTCTACCCCCGTGCACCCCTAGATACGCCACTTCACCTCAGCAACACTCCTATTTACTTAATATGTGGACAGTTACCGTTGAACACCCATCACACTATTACGGTGGTAGTGCCAGGATCTGCGCGACAGGAGGGCTAAAGGCCCCGACCGGGCCACAGGGAGATTATTATTATTATTATTATTATCATCATCATCATCATCATCATCGTCGTCGTCGTCATCGTCGTCGTCATCCTCATCATCATCATCATCATAATCATTATCGTTATCATTATTATTATTATTATTATTATTATTGTTGTTGTTGTTGTTGTTTTTGTTATTATAATGATGAAAAGTTAACACAAACGGTACACAAATAGGTCAATGAAGGCGATGTGGTTGCTAAACGAACAGATAATTATAACTATTTATATGTATATATTTAATTTCAATAGATAAAATTATTATGCACTTTTTAAAAAATGACACTGTTCGGCTGATGTTTGAACGTAATTAATTCACATTAAAAAAGAATGAATATATGTCGTTTCATGGGCCTAATTCAAAGTAATATACGGTAGTCGGATAACTTACAATAAAACGGCACGTGAATTTATGTTATTATTATTACTATTTCCCCCGAATAGGGGGGGCCATAGCCCCCTGCCCCCTCCCCCACTCTGGCGCCACCCCTGCACTATTATAGAATTTATTGTGGTATATGTTTTTTTTGTGTTCAGGAACATCCATTCTTATTTACTTACTATGTGAACAGACGTAAAGTTTTTCAGCTCACCGAAAACCACCACCACATTAAGAGCAGTAGAACTAACATCACCATCACGTGCGCACACGATGAATGTTTCTTTAACGTTGTTACAGCTCCTATTTAATAAAAAAATATTTATACAGACCTAGTGTTATTATTGACGTTAAAATATTTGGAAAATGTAAACCAATAAAAGTGAATTATATATTAAAACCATTATTTATTATGATAATAATAATTATTATGACTTTTATTATAATTGTTGTTATTGATTTCATCTCAACTTAATTGAGATTAGTGATATCATAGGCCCACATTCGGCAGAGCAGGCTTTTCGTTTATCATTCCATTGAGATTATAAGCCACATTCGGCAGATTAGGCTTTTCATTTATCATTCCATTGAGACATAGGCCTACATTCGGCAAATTAGGCTTTTCATTTATTATTTCATTGACATCAAATATGCCTACATTCGGAAAATTAGGCTTTTTGTTTATCACTCCATTGTGATCATACTCCTACATTCGGCAGATTAGAATTTTTGTTTATCATTCCATTGAGATTATAGGCCACATTAGACAGAGTAGGCTTTTAGTTTATCATTCCATTGAGATCATAGGCCCACATTCGGCAGATTAGGCTTTTCGTTTATCATTCCATTGTGATTATAGGCCTACATTAGGCAAACATTCAACTGACCTGCACTCTGAATGGCTGTGCTGTAGGTTTAGTGAATTCATGGCTTAGGGGTCGCACTGCTTCCTCCTCCCTGCGTTCAGTTGGCTGGGTCAGAGATTTAATACAATATCAATTTTTTTTTTCAAATAAACGACCACTTTTTGACCTATAGTCATTTTCATGATGATTTTTAACTTATGGTACCTAGGAATTATGTTTATTTCCATTTTTATAACTGAAATGAGTGAATTATTGTGGCATTATGTCTTAACAAATATTAGCTCATGATACCCCATGGGTTGGAGTTGGGTTGCAGAGAGCCTTCCTTAGGTTGTAAGTTGTCTTTATGTTTTGGTGAGATCAGCCTAATTAAAATGAGATGAAATCAATAAAATCAATTATAAGTAATATTAATTACTATTATTATTATAATAAATAATAGTTTTAATATCAATTCACATTAGTTTACATTTTCCAAATTATCTTTATACTGAAAGTGTTAAATTGGTAGACAGGTTCTAGAAGATTTCTGAAAAGTATTCATTTTAAAATATATTATTTAAGGTACAAATAAACATGATACAAGTGGTAAACAAATCCTTAAACACATTGAAATTAAGTGATAAGTACAATAAGCTGAAGTAAACTGATTTGTTGAATTGACAATGTGAACACATACAGAAAATTAAGCACAAAGCAGAAGCCATCATCACCTATTCATCATCATCTTTACCATCTTCATCTTAACCATAATCGTCTGCACCACCATCATCATTATCAGGCCTAAAAAATTGTTTATTTGTTGTCATATTGTAAAAAATTGAATACAGGGTCGGGCGGATTTTTTTTTTTTTTTTTTTTTTTTTGTAAAATCATAGAAACATCGTGCGATTGTGCGATTGCCATTTTTTCACGGAAATACGATCATATTTTTGTTTTTTAAAAAAATCAAATAGTCACGGATCTAAGCCAAAATCGACGAAAAACTAGTTTTCATTTGATCTTTTAAACTTAAAAAACCCTTTTTTTTCTTTTCTTTTTTTCCCGGTTGTTTTCTGTTCTGCACCTTAGAATCATACGGTCGCGTTCTGTGGCACCATAAAGACTTTGTAGGGAAGCATCACCACAAAACAGCTTTATTAAAAATAACTCAGTTTTAGTTTTTAGTTTCAGAATGTTCAACACCCAGAGAGCGAGTGTTTACGTTCTACGAGTGAATACCATGTTTGCAAGTGTGTTCTGTTCTTTAGTATTCAAGTTTTCGCTCCTCGTACGCTGGTCACTTAAATGCACGATGAAACTACTTGCTCGGCCCCACAGCCAACTGAACGGAGGGAGGAAGCAGTGCGACCCCTAAGCCATGATGATGCACTGAACCTAGCATGCCATCCCGAGTGCCTGTCAGTTGAGTGAGACTCCCTGTGCATCTCCCCTGCAGTCTGTTAATCGCCTAGTCCTGTCAAGTATCACCGCCAAGCAATCATCAAATGATGCCGCAAGGCTAAGTACTCAACCTCGCCAAGGCTCGGGCCTTCGCCAAGGCCCGGGCCCAGACTCAGCGTAGGGTTACCGGCGTATTACCGACAAGAAGCCTCGTCGACCCCGGAACCCGTCAGGGAGAGAGTCAGGTGGTTTTTGTTTGCATGTGATTAGAATATATTTGGTTCAATTGTACGTATGGTATTGGTGTTATTACCTGCAGAAGCAATCAGCGAGGATACATTAGGCCTATTTATTGTATTATTGTACAGCGAAATTGCTTTTTTTGCCTTATTTTTAAAAATAATTTTTAGTGATTTTAATGGACATTTAGTATTACCTTAAAGTACCTAATATTTTATATATAAATAGAGGCTACTAAAATGGTTTTATACATTATAAAATATGCAAATGATGAATATGAAACAATTGGAAATGTTTAGAGGCGTATCTATCTAAACTTCAAACCAAAACGAAAAG